GTGTGCAAGATTGTTATGGACCGCAGATGCCTTTTGTGTTGAGGGGTCTGACTTGCATTTTCCCTGGAGGAATGAAGACTGGTATCGTTGGAAGAACAGGCAGTGGAAAGTCTACCCTGATACAGGTCCTTTTCCGGATAGTTGATCCTACCAACGGTCAGATACTTATTGATGGTGTTGACATTTCAACGGTAGAACTTCGTGAGCTAAGATCAAGATTAAGCATAATCCCACAGGATCCAACAATGTTTGATGGAACCATCCATAGCAACTTAGACCCACTTGAAGAGTACACAGATGCAGAAATATGGGAGGTGATTTATCTTTGATTCATCATTTTCTTTCAATTGTTAATTATGCAGACTCGTTAATCTAATGCAATAGAAATGCTTTAGGCCTTGGATTCCTGTCAGCTCAGGGAGGAAACAAGGAAGAAAGAATTAAAGCTCAACTCTGAAGGTTAAGTATCTTTGTTGGCTTAGTTTGTGATTTGAGTTATAATTATAGTAGGATAAAGGCATCTAGATCTTACTTGCACGATCGGTTTGCAGAACAATGGAACCAGAAATAGGTTATCAAAATTGTCTTATGCAATCTGGCATATGAAATCTTATGCTCTAAAATTATTTGTGATGGTTGAGATTTAAAACTTTTCATAACTATTATCAAGGTTATTTTTCTACTTTCTGTTGGATCTTTTAGGACTTCAATTATTTATTTAATCATGGATTGCAGTGAATAAAAATGGAGAGAATTGGAGCATTGGTCAACGACAGCTTGTCTGTTTGGGTAGGGTGATTCTGAAGATAAACAAGATTTTGGTTCTTGATGAAGCAACTGCTTCAGTGGATACTGCTACCAATAATCTGATTCAAAAGACACTGAGACAGCAGTTTTCGAAGTCGATGGTGATCACAATTGCACATTGGATAACTTCTGTTCTCGGTAGTGATATGGTTTTAGTTCTTGATGATGGTAAGTACAATGAAGTTTTTTGTTTCTTTTCTCTTTACCTCAAGATACATCAGTTCATCACCTCTAATGTAACCTTTTTCTTTTTCTCTGGTGACCAGGATTGATTGTGGAATATGACACACCAGCAAGATTGCTAGAGGACAAGTCTTCTTTGTTTGCAAAACTTGTCACAGAATACACCATGAGATCTAGTTCAGGTTTTGATCAACTAAATAACTGATACACTATCTCGCTGAGAATATTTTGGGTGCAAGAAGATGGTCAAGAACTGTAAGTAAAGATGTGTTGTTCCCTTTCTTTGATCCATCTGGCTATGTCATATAAACAGTAATGATCACATGTCCCATATAGCATTAGAATGAGCTAGATCTTTACTCATACTCGGAACTAGATTTTTCTGTTCTACTTATCAGTAAAACGACTGGCACATCACTAGTATCAGCACCTAATGTAGAATCTCTCTCCATCCTAGACTAGTCTTTGCTTGCTACACTAAAATGCAGATGTACTACGAAACTTGCATCAGCTATATAGCTCAAAAACTGTTATGTAATCAAGAGAAAGGAAGTAACACTTCTCTCAGTTGTTTAATAATAGGCTTCTATATCACTTTTATTTTTCCCCTTGAAGCTGCTATCTCACTTTATTCTATATGGCTTGAGCTCATACAGTTAAACCGATAAGTCTCTCCCTCTCTAAAAAAAGAAACCAGTAATAAGTGCAAGAAATATAGAAATGCATCTATCACTCCCAAAATCTGTTTGATGAATTGTTGGTTTTTGTTGACTAAACTTTGTATCCACAGTAGTAGTAGGGACACCTCAACTTCCACATTACCTCAGATAACATATTAGTGTGGTTCAGTCAATCTAAATAGGATTTTGCATGATTAACAGTTTTCTTCCATCTTTGAGCCTATATTAACTTTAAGCACACGTCAAAACTGGCATGAAACTGAAACACAAGCTGACAGAGTTCGACCAGGTAGTATTGGAGGTTCTGCAGTAAAGAATAAAAGGATTATATATATATATGTGTGTGTGTGTGTGTGGTAAAAAATCTCATTAGCAGAGATATTTCAGTGATCATGTTTGGTTGTTTTGGTCTACTTCTCAGAGCAAATATATCTTGCATCAACTGATAGAAATAAGCAAGAAGCTAAACCAGTTTAAGTAATGCACATAATAATGTTATAAAAGATAAAATTATAGACTATCCAAAATTTTGCTACGTAATTTTCACAATTAGTTTCATATGGCTCTTGGGATTTATCATGTATAGAATTGGTAAAAAAACATTTAGCTTCAAATAATCTGCAAAAAGAAGAGGAATGTATAAGAAGCAACTTACCGGAGAATCAAATTTACAGAAAGACAACCAATGTAGATCACAGAATTTGCTGAAAGAATTATACAGCATCAACAAAGAAAACCAGAAGAAATAGGAGCTCCCTTCAGTCCAAAGCAATATGAAGAGATAACATCTAGGAAATGATATTGTTTTGGTCTGAAAGCAGCTCCCATTTCTGCTGCTCTCAAGCCCTCAGAAAGCAGATGCAAGGAAGAGAAGAAAGCAGAATGGATGGAAGATGGGAAGGAACAAAGATGAACAACCATGCAGTCTCCGGTTGATATAATTACTTTGGCCTGTGGAGCTCTCCTTTTGTTTTCAACTTCATTTGGTACATTACTGATCTCTAGCTGCTCTTCCTTGTTTTAGCTGTACCACAATGGTTGTGGAATTTATGCATGGCAGGCCCAGTTTCTTCATTTAGGTTTCTTCTTTCAATGTTCATATGGTATGGTTTAATGGTTGCACCATGTTCTAGTTCATGAAGAAAAGAGGAGAGTGAAGAATATTTTTTCAGAATATTTTTTAAGCTCTTTCTATTCTACTTTGGAGTAGAAATTAGAGGCTGGCATTCATAATGCATGGCATGTAATTAAGAATCATGCATCCTGAACAAGAAACCACCCATATTTGTCTCCCCTCTCTTATGTCAAGAAACATGAATGCTAGATTTTGCTATTAGCCAGAGCTCTCAAGTCTCTTTCTAGAGGGGGTGCATGTGTCAATCCACAGAGCATTTATGTTCTTTCCCTCACATTGTATGCTTAGTGTATTCTATTTTGGAAACCCATTCTACTTGGTGCAGAAGGGACTGCATCCTGTGTTTCTTGTGCTCCATCTGTGACAAGCTTTTTACTTTTTTTACATTGTTTTTCTCTTTCCTTTCTTCACAAGATTAACATAGCCTTCTTGTTTTATGCGGCTGTGAATCTGATTCCTTTCTTCTAACTTTTATGCCCTTCCATCTCTGAGGTTTGATCAGTAAAGTCGGTTTTAATTAGGTGTCTCACTGTCAAAGATGACTTACTCTTTAGTCGCAAAGTAGCAAACTTCTTATCGTCGTGCCAAAGTATGTCCTTTGTTTATACTCCTTAAAAATGTTTAATCATATAATTCCATGTGACTGCCACTGTTAATACTGCATCTTGCTGTGCATTAACCACTGTTGGTAAGTAAAACTATAAATCCTTGTTTAAAGCCCCACAGTGTGGTTACTATTAGCACTAAATGATTCCTGACTGCAAAAGCAAGCATCATACAAGCCACTTGGACCTTTTGTTGCACCTTAATGGAATTTTGGTTTGGGTTGCACTCCAAATTAATTGAATGGCTCATAGTAGATAGTGACCTTGGATCACAGGACCCAGGGAATATTGCTTGGTAGCTAATCTAGATTAAGACAGCATCATCATGTTTTGGATGACTGAAGTGGTTTCTTGGTTTATCAGTGTATTATGTTTTACTTAGATGAGTAGTCACAGTGATGTACACTTGATCATCAAATGTCTTACTTCTGATCTAAAACATAATCTTAAATAGTGCTTGTAATAATAGTTATTAATATTTGTCATAGTTACATAGATGGACCTTAAATATAATTTTTTTGCCATTAATATTATGATATATGTAAACTGCTTAAAATGCAGGATCTTCAAAGCATCCATGCACCCACCAAAACACATCATAACAAGAGAGTGAGATTGAGAATTACATTAAAATCATGTTATTTGATGGGGAGTTCTGCATCCTCCAATTGTTTGATGTTTTCTATCAATCTCCACCCAATGTTAAAAGAACTTGAGCTGATGAGTTGAAAGATGAAGCATTTTGATACTGACAATTGGTTGATGAACAAATAAATAATATATTACTAGATTTGTTTCTTAATCATTTAATTTGTTCTCTTTTTACAGACACATGTACATGCATATAACTAGCCTTATACAAAGAGTGATGATGTAGGAAAGCCAATTCACATGAAGAAACAACAAAACTGTTGAAGTTAATATATATGGCACATAATTTTTTAAAGGAAAATAATAGGGGGTTCCCCCAATAGCATATAAATTTCTCTTGTGTAGAATTATATTTATATATATATATATATATATATATATATATATATATATATGTATGTACTTATAGGGTTCCCCAATAACATAAAAATTCCTCTTATCTAGAATTATATATAACAATTGAAAAGTAGATATTATTCGTATTGCATTCAATCGACTCTCAAAGATACGATAATAAATGATTAGTCAACGTACCCATCCATTTTTTATATCTGTAAAATAACAAATGATGCAGTAGTTGATCTTCTTGCAAAAGTATTATGGATCAGAAAATTGATTTCTGAACTAAAAGAAAAAAAGCTAAAATGATGGTATAATTTGGAACAAATCAAAAGGCGTAGAAATTCTATTATTTTATAGAGTCGGCATCACAGTTTCCAAAGATGATTTAGTCCAACTAATAAGCAGTGTCCATCAAGGAAACAGTCAACGATGGGCGGCTCAACATTGGTGATCGCAGGATGTGGCACATATGATCACGTTGTGGTCACATCTATTTCATTCATTCTTTTATCTGCTGAATTCAATTCTCTGTAGCAAAAGAATAAAAGGGTTGTTAATAATCGGTGAATTCAGACAAAGTTATAGACACAGAAGAAAGAGAGAACCCAACATCTCATCTATGTTTCCTTTGGCTTCAGGATTCAGAGGATGAACTGCAAGGAAGAAAAGAGTCTAATTCCTATTTGCTGATCTCAATGACTCGAGATTTCAGGGTGACACAGACTGCATCCTTTGTCATCTGTACAGAATTAATCGGCCTTGGAACAACAATTACATGACAAAATACTATTGTCTGCTGACAAAGAAGAAGAAGGAGAAGCAGCAGCAGCATGAAGGTTGGTCATGGTGGCCGCCAGGCTCACTGGCTTCTTGGCTTCGACGGCCTTGCCGATCCGCGCTTGCCGAAGAATCCACAGCAAAGGCAACGAGGGACCTTAGGAGATGGCGGGTCGACGTTCGGCGGGAGGACACCTGCACGGAAGGCGTGCCTGCCGTCGCCGGTGCTGCGGTTGCGTCCCATCGTTCGGCGGGTCGACCCCACGCCCTTCGAGTGCTTCAGCTCCCTGATTTCTTCGGCTCCTTCCTCCTCCTTCTCCTCCTCCTCCTCCTTTTCCTTCTTCTTCTCGGAGAACAACCTCTCATCCCACACCAGCCCTGATGAACCTGACCTCCTGAACGTCGTCGCAGATCTTTGTAGCTCTGCCATCCTCCTCCCCCCCCCCCTCCTCTCTCTCTCTCTCAATCGCTCTCTCGGTAGTTCCGCTAATAAATAGGAGGAGGCCGGA